GTTCCTTTAAAAGCGGGGGGGGGCGTTGATGAGATGATTGTTCCTCGCCAGAGGCACGAGGGAGCTCCTGTCAAGCGCCCTGCTGGCCGGGGACGATGAGAGCTGCAACCCCAGCGCCTGCGGAGGCCTCCAGGCCGGGGCGCGGCTGCTTTGGGCCCCCCCGAGGAATTCTTAGGACGGTCGATAGCGCCTCTTCCCCCAAAGGGGCCCCCGAATTGCCTCAAAGTACTGGGGGAGCGAGGGGGCTCCTGGAAATGGGGGGGACCTTGACCCCCCTCCCTCCCTCCCTCCCTCCGGCCTCGGATTGGGGTAAAGAGGGAGGGAGGGAGGGGAGCTGGAAGCGGCCCAGGCCTTTTCCCGCAGGGCCGAGGGCCCCGGCCGCGCCAAGCGAGCCTTTGCTGCTTGGTCGGAGGAATAAGTAGAACCCCCTAATTCAATAGGACTTAATGCTGCGCAAGGTGCAGTTTATTTGACTCAGGCTAAAGACTGTAAACCATCGATAAATAGGTACTGAAAAGGAAGGGAAAGGTTGATTTCGCTATTCATTGATGAGCCACCGTCTCTCAAATCCCCGAGGAATACAGCTGTAATGAATAAATAACTCCTGCTTTGAGCACCTCATTAAAGCGGTGTGTAGATGGGTGTCGTCTTCCCGCAGGGGAGCTTGCAGCCTTGATTTTGGTAGCAGTTCTCTGGGGAGCAACCAACCCATATTTGAAAAGAGGAACGGAGGGTCTGGAGCAGGTAAAGAGAGAGAGCAAGCCTCGGCAGATGTTGGCAGAAATGAAGTTCCTCTGTCTGAATTACAAGGTATTTGCCATTTGACGAAGCCCCCTTAACGCTGCTCTTTCTAGAGTGTGTAAAACATTCCATCGTGTTTGGTCCAAACTCAAAGCAGGCCTGTGCTGAGGGTCCCGGTGTGTTCTGAGATCAGGCCACTCTCGGAGCCCAGTCCTTGTTGGGCTGCACACCCCTAACCCATCCCCTGAAGCCCCTCTTGCACAGGAGCGTGAAATTACCTGTGCCTTGGGCCCTCAACGTGGCACTTTTGCACCTGCAGACATTTTTATTCATGCTCGCCAGGCCATCCCTCCTGCCTTTATTTTTTTAAGCGGTCTTTTAATTGAAACATGGGATTGGAAGCTGACATGCCTCACACCTCTAAAAAAAATGGAAGGTAAATTAGAAGCAGGAACGAACTTTCTGGGGGGCTGGTAGTAAGTAAAGGATGTTTTATGAGTGGCTGTGTCCTTCACAGTAGGCATTGTCTCTTCATGCCCGCAAAATAAATTCAGAATGTTCCCACTGACTCTAAAAGTAAGTGATCTCTGGCCAGGTTTGGGGGAAGGTAGCTGGGCTGCACCAGCCCGTTCATATGTGCAAGGGAAATTAGTCTAAAATTGAATTGATTTTTTTCTAAATCTTACATTATACTGAATTAAGGTACTAGTATCAGATTTGATTCTGTTTTTTACTTGATACTATTCGTCTAATAATAATCAGAGTTGGATTAACTGGTGCTAAATGCCAAAGAAGACTGTAGCATTTTGATTACAGTATTTAGTAGTTTTCCCAATGGAGAGATCATTCCTTGGCTCTTGGTCTCTTTTTCTCTTCTCTATAATTCAGAATATTTGAGAGATATAATGTCCATTTTCTTCTCGGATGGAAGCCTGTTTGGAAAGCCACTAGTCAGCAATGATCTTTTAAAACTGTATTCCATGTCCAAGTCCTTGAAACAATTTTCAAATCAGGAGCATGTTTCAAAGAAGGATAATAATACATGATGCATTACAATAACTGGAACACCAGTAACTGACCAGGGGTTGCACGGCCCTCCGTGATCAGATGTTTGTTTAAATCAAGCAGCCCTAAAGGTCTCACCATCCAACTAAGTTTTTTTTTTCTTGCAGTACATGGTGCCATTTGCACTAAACCAGTGTGGTTCGTTTATCTACTATCTCACATTAGCATCCACAGGTTGGTCCATAATTAATTACTGAAAGTGTGACTAAGATTTGGGGAGGTGTTATAGAGTGGACGCCCTGATCATTGTGGGGGCTTACTCAGATATCTATTGCAGAAAGGCATAATTTTAAAGATCTAATTTCTGTGACTATACGGCCAAAATGGGAATACTCTGCTCTTCATAGATTTCAAAATTGGATTATCTTCATTTAAAAAAAAAACACTGAGAATGGTGATGCACATTCAAAAGGAGCAAGGCTTTAATCACATGGTCACAGACACCATCTTGACTTCTTTGATGCCCACAGGTGCCCTCAAGATATGTTGATTTTTTCTTCTTCCTAGTGTTTTTCTTGCAGGTGTGCAGGGTTTGCTTTTTTCGGATCAACCAAATGTTGACCCGTTGGTTGCAACAGGAATTTTGATTGCAGCTCCTGAATTCCCACCCAGCATGGTTGGAACAGGCCAGCTAAGGAAGAGGTTTTCCCCAGGTATCCAGATAAGCGAGGCCTGCTGCACAATTGCTGCAGAATCAGGCGGTGGAAGTAACTGCCAGAGAAGAATGCCACCTTTTCAGTACTGTCCTATGTGAACGGTCCCTGCATGTGGAGAACTAGCTAATGTGCTTCTGGGAAGCAGAATTTGCTACCAGAATTACTCCAGCTATACCAGCCAAAAATAAACTCCAGATGGATTCTCTGCCGGGGGGCGGGGGGGGGTTCTATTTGAGTAGGGTTGTCTCCTCAATTGTTTTTGTTAGTTTTGATCTGATGATTCTACATTAAACGTTCCACTTTCCATTTCAGACCTGACCTTGGCTGTGCCTCTTTGCAATTCCTTGGCCCTGGTCTTCACAATGGTAACAGGGAAAGTTCTTGGAGAAAACGTGGGTGGAACAAGTAGGTCTCCTATTGCTTGATCAGATGCAAATTCTGTCCTCCTCCTTGCTGCTTTATATTTACTCAAAAGAGAACAAGCAGGCTTTAATTGAACATTCCATGTTCCTCTCCCATGAACAAAGGCAGTGGCATAGTCCCGGCTTTGGTTATTTCCTGCTTTTTCTCTTCCGTAGGGGCTGCCCTGGGAATGCTGCTGACAGTCTTGGGCATTGCTATCTGCATAGCTGGGTCTGGGAACAAGAATGCATGAGATGTCTCGGAAGAAGAGAGGAAAGCCTGTAGAAGACCATTCTTACCTGTGCAATTGCTGACTCCACTCTCAAGAGTTGCAGCATGGGGTGAAGAAACCCAGGACTCCATGTTGGAGAGAGAATGTGGTTTTTCCTATCCCGGCTAGCACTCCTTCATGCACTTGGGTTCCAGAGGGCCCTGGGTCTCCAGACCTTGTCTTGATGTTCCTGTTAACCAATCAGCAGCAGAAACCTTGGGGGCCCTGAGGTAGCTTTAATGGAAGCAGTGAGATCAGGAGCCTTTAAGCTAATGCAGGAATATCTCAAAAAGTGACCGGAGATGCCCAGACGGATCTGATTTAAGAATAGGAGCAATTGCTGTCATCCAGATGGGGCCGAAATAGGAACTGTGTGGTGTGAAGAATGAAGGAGCACTTTCTGGCAGGGAAAAGGTTGGCTGGATCCATCCTTAAGAGATTTAGATCACCTACAACTGGCACCAGGTGCTGCTCACACCAGAGCAGTACCCAGAGATGCAGTATCAGAGGTCTGTGTTAGGCTTCAGAAGCACTTGTGATTCCGTCAATAAAGGGTGAATCCCATGCTGGCTGAGGGAATTCTGGGAGTCGAAATCTACACATTGAGAAACACTGTTCTAGCCGTATGGAATGTCCTCCCATCACAAATCTGAGAGATCCTCTTGTGACTCCCATTTTTGCTCCGAATGTCTTTTCAGTGAATAGATCTGATTCGATGATTTCAGTGTATTATTGTTAAACAGTCTTTAAAAATATTTATTACTGTGCTTGATTGTTCCATTTATTTTTATTCATCCCGAAGTCAGAATGTGAAACTCATAACTTCCAGCATCTCTTCTCACTGGCCATCAATATAACTTCTTCCCCAGATGCTTATCCCCGAGGGGGATAAATGGGATTTCAACGATGCATCCGAGGTACAGGCCCTTCTCCCTCACTAGCCAGCGCCTAGTCCTTCTGTTACATGGAATGAGGGATACAATTCACAGGCACTTTTGCCCTCTAGCTCTGAATTCGAACCATGGGAGGAGGGAGGCAGCAATGCAGAAAGTTGATTTTCCATTCCAGCCTTCCACTTAACTCACTTTCTGTGGCCAGTGAACCTAGTTATTCTTCACTGGTTCATATTTTCCTTTAAAGACCTTCTGTACATCTGTACAGTACATCTTTGGGTTCCCCTACTGCTCCCTCCCTTTTATATATGAATAATGTCAATTTGCCCATATAACAAACTCTTTACCACTCTAAGATCTAAAACCTCAGCATCTTGTTTACCTGATGCCATATTGTTGGCCATGAGTTTGCCTCTGTGCTAAACTGGTCAGCCCTTGGTCGCCATGCCTGATTCCTCCCCACCACACACACACCCTCCCCAGAATTTTGCCTCAGATAAGCATTTCAAATCAGAGAGCTGGAGTTGAAGTTTCCACATTTATTGTAAGAAGAAATACCGTAGACAAAAATTGCACAAAACCACCACACATTTGATTCAAGACACTCCACCCAGCAGGAAAAACCTTGCTGGGTCTGTTTCATTAGAGTCATTTCTCAGATCCAGAAGAGCTGCTCCTAGCTGGTTGCAAATGAAGCTTCTGTGTCGCTTCCTCCTCTGTGTAGAGCTTATCACCGTGCTCAGTCTTTTCATTGTACAAGAAATGAAAAAGACAATGTTTGTTGAATTCAAGGGGATATGAATGTGTATATCTAGAGAGTTCTGGGAAGGAGTGCTGAAGTGATGTGGAAGCAGAACATCGCTTAATCTAAGAGAATAACTTGTGCTAGAATGCACACCATGTTTTGTGCTGAAGCGAATAGATTGCACTTCCTTTAACCTGGCTTGGTTTTACATAAATGCACAGATACATTCACTGCGGTAAACTCAAATGAATCAGTTGTTGTATAAACCCCGTTGTTGTTTCTTCTCTCCAGTGCTCTGATTAAGTATTTCTTAATGCAAGTTAATTACCTTCTTGGATGGCCATCCTTTAGTCTTTGGTATAACTTCCTCTTCCACAATCTCTGCAGCTTTCTGGAAAAAAGAAAGTACAAGCAATTGTGCCATGTCCGAAGCAATGGGAGAAGGCTTTTCTTGTTGTCAGCCGGCAGGAATAAAAAAGGTGTAGCTGCTTAAAACGATACTCCTCAACTGTTACCAGGCAGTTAAGTTCTATTATATTTAGCGTGACCTCCTGAGTAGAGAAAGGGAACATCATGGCATATGATAACTACAAAGATGACAAAAGTCTAGGGAAAATGGCTAATCTGGGGGGAAAGCCCTGAACACATTTTTGAAGAAATTAAACAGTCTTATCCCAAGTTACTGGGCTCTCTGCCCCATTAATACTGGCTCACAGACCATATTCTGTGTACTGTATTTGTATATGGAGGCAGGTCAATTAGTGGTTTTGTTACTGTTAGTTTGTAGTTGTGGTTTAGCTATGCAAATGCAGCTCCTTTGGTTAGTCTGTGATTGTATTGTACAATCCCCCAAAATGGGTTAGTTCCTTGGCTGATCTCAAAAAACTAAACAGGAGCAAACCTAGTTTGAGTACTTGGATGGGAGACCACCAGGAAATGCCAATTAGGAAGTTATAAAAAACATCCTGGAAGAAGGCAGGGACTAATCACTTGTGCATTACATGTCAACAAAACAACACTGTGTGTCCGCAAAGCTTCAGGAGTCAGGGTTGACTCAAAGGACACCTAATCTGTACAGTGACCAGGAGAAGCCTGCAGCCTAGAGAGTCACGTCCCCTGCCTTGTGCCAGATCCAGTTCAAATCTATGGCTTTTTGTCTTTATTTGAGAGCAACTAAGTGGCCCCTACAGTATTTTGCCCCTGAAGCCAGCCCTAAACCAAGCTCATGCAATGCAGTTGGGTGGGGAGGTGATGCACTGGGCAACTCAATCAGGCTTAAAGCACTGTTTTGCCCTTTAAACATCCCCCAGCTCCCCAAAACACAGTATAGCAACATGACAGTTCTGGGGGGCTGCAGGCAGGCCATGGATTGCCCACTGCTGAACTAATGAAACTGTTGTTTGATTTCAAAGACATTGGATCCAGTCCCCTCGGCGTGTCTCTGGCCCAGTGCTCTGGCAGCAGAATTCTCAGCAAAAGGAAAACGTTAAGCCACAAAGTGGATCAGGTGCCAAAGAGAGCGGGCAGGGGGGCTTCCACGCCTGAAGGGAGCTCTCAACATCCACTGCAGTGTTTCAGGGTGACAGACTGCTTATACGCAAGGAGGCTAGAATAGGTACACTGAGAGCGACCCTCATACCTGGTCTATAGGAAATTCCACCTGCGTGTCTTCATCTTCTCCTATTTCCTGCGCATCTGCCGTCTCCTGCCTTGCCCCTTTCATTTTATAAACACTTCCATTTTCTGAAGAAGAAATAAAATACAGCACAATAAGACATCCCTAGTGAATACCACGTACACCTCCAGGGCAGTTACTCTACCTGCCTAGGGAAGGGCTGCTGCCCAAAAGCCTCCAGATCCAGGAGTGTGACTACAAATGAGCTTTGCACCTTTATGACTGATTTGCAGAAGAAAGGTCCAAGCAGTTCACCTTGCCTGCGTTTACACACCAGACTAGCCCATGATTAACAGATCCATGGTTTACTGAAAACATTGTAGGAAGAGGGCCGTGTTAGTCTACGCTAGCCAAAAATCAAAGGAGTCTGGTCGCCCCTTTTCCAACTAACCAATTTTAAAAGGGCATGAGCTCTCGTGGGCTGCTGCTGACTTCATCAGATGCATGGAGTGACTAGACTGATGTGGAATGAGGCCACGAATGAGACCATGACGTCCACTTTCCCTCAAGCTCTCCGGATAGAGATATCTCTCTCTGGATAGATACCTCTCTCTCTCTCTCTC